ATTTATAAAGAAAATGTGAATACATAAATCTCATTTTCAATGCTGACCTGGCCAAGAAGGCAGCAACGTTACACATCACACATAACACATACAAAATACAGAGAACATAACTAAGAAAACCAAAGACGAAAAAGCAGTCACTACATTGTGCACATTAGGACAGTAAGCAATGTACACTACTTATTTCTGCAAGAGCAGCTGGTGGTAAGGACTTCAGACAACTTTAATTTAAAACATGCTATAGAGACAAGTGCTGTCAGTTTGAGGCGTGATTGAAGGTCATTCAAGACAAAGGACCATAATAAAAAAGACTCCTTTTTCCAGCCTCAGTCCGCACAGCAGGTACCTGGAACCATATCCAGGCACTGGATCTGAGGTTGTGAGAGTCACAAACTGGAGCAAATCTGGCAGTGGAAGCTTACCTAAAATGGCTTTATACATTAATAAAAACCTATGCTGCATCCTACGCATAGTAAGTGAGGACCATCCAGTAAGGCTATTAAATATCAAAGCCTCCTTTTATAAACTCTCACACACAGCATAATGCAAATCTCATTTATCAAGTTCTTTGCTTACGACAAAATGCTGCTGTCTATACTATGTGATTACGAGGCTGGGCATGGCATGGTGATAATAAAGGTTATTAAAAGTAATTATTATAATGGCAAATTAGATGCTGATTTAGGAAGTATCTCTTGTAGAAGATTGCACCTCAGCTCGACAGGAAACACACATTTCTTATACTCTGCTGTTTTACAAGTAAGCGGTTATTGCATGTTGAAAGTGAAGTACATTACAGCTTAAAGTTTTATTTGTCACCACCAGAGAGAAGAGATATGACGATAACATGGAGGCCATGTTGGAATGTGTACAAATATCCCACAGTAACACCTGGAGCAGAGACCCCATGATGCAGCTGAAGGTCACAGCGCTGCTCAGCCCTGAGCTGTGTGTAAGACAATGCACTCCATCATCATCAAAATGTTACCAGGACATATTTAATTACACTATTACTAACATATTATCTTTACATTTAACGTTATTATGCAAAAAATACCTTTTTAATAAACTTAAAAATCTGTCAAGAAATCAATAAAGGGGGCATTTAAAATTCTTAACCCAAAGACTTTGTTATACATTTTGGTTAGAAGCAGACCCATATGGGATATTCCCAGGTTTTTTGCCCCCAAGCGATAGCTGCATGTAGTTCAAATACGTGGGAAAAAAAGATAAGACTACACATTTCAGTGTTTGATGTTTCCACAGCTATTCCAGTTAAACTTTAGACATTTTGTCTTTCTCTGTACTGCTACGGTAAAGGTGAAACTCACAACCCTCATCGCACAACAACCATACGACCTGAATCTACTTGTACGAGCTATGGATGGAGAGGTATATCCACAGTTAATCTAAATAATCCACTTTGTTACAGTTCAAATACTGTACATATACAATGCTTCTGTGAAATGACATGACCTCTGACCTTTCTGCCTCTCAGCAAATCAACTTCCCTGGTTTAGATGAAAGTGACGTTTCTCATTTCCTCTGTAGCCTGCGGAGACTCAATCAAATAGGAGAGGTACAGACGTCAAGGAAATCTTTATTACATGGGAAGAAATATCAAACTGATTGTGTTTTGTAATTCTGAGTCACTACTTTGCATCTAAATCAAATCTGTTTTTAACTTTTTTTTAGGCAAGTGTGAACAAAGTCAGAGTCCTGGTGGATGCAGAATACACCTACATGAACCCTGCCCTCTCTCTTGTCACCATGGCAATGATGAAGAAGTTTAACAAAGATGGCGCCTGGATCTGGAACACGTATCAATGTTACCTGAAGGCAAATATCTTGAATGTCACAAAATAGATCATTTTAGCTTGTATGTATTTTCTAACATTATCAAAGATCTGTATAGATATGTCTATATGTCTCCAGGAGTCCAGGTCTCTCCTGTTAGAAGCGCTGCGTCTGTCAGAGACTGAGGGTTTCTGTCTGGGGGTCAAGCTGGTGCGAGGAGCCTACATGGACAAAGAGAGGAAGCTGGCAGAGAAGCAGGGTCGCCCGGACCCCGTGCACAAGTGCTGGGAGGACACCAATGACAGGTGGGTCATAGGCAGCAATCATTATTCGTTACAAGGCAAATGCATCCCATATTAAGCTTAAAGGGGACGTATCATGCAAAATGCACTTTTATACATGAATATGTGTCCCCGGCGTGTCAGGGAACTCACCAAGTGTCAGAAAACACAACCCTCTCTCTTTTCCTCCATACCCAAATGAATCTCTAAAAACGGGGCTGCAACGGAGCTGATACAGACTGATACAGATTTGAAATTGTTCTGACGTCAGAAACGGGGAGCTCCGCCTATATGGGCAACTCTCCACCTATCAGGGGAATGAGAGGTTGCCGTGGCATGGTAACAGCATGGTAACAGCATGGTAACATGATGCTCATGCCTCGACCCCCATGATAGGTCCACTTTAAACTAGATAACAGAGCCTATTACTTAGGTCGTTTTTACCAATGCACCTGGATAAATCCTAAAAGCCTGGATTAAAATGAATTGAACTGCTATCCATTGAGTACATTTAGCCTTATAGAAAACAGACAGATTTTGTCCCCCACAGTAACATTTATTGAACAGTTTGCTTGTGTTTGTGCAGTTATAACGGCTCGCTGGATGTGATGCTGGAAGACATTTCCAAGAACCCGGAGAGCTACAGAATTATTGTCGCCACTCACAACGAGGAGTCAGTGAGACGGGCCGCCAAACGGTACGACCACATGAAGTCAAAATCACACTTTAACATGAGAATTTACACAAAAAAAGTGCAATGATAAATAGTTGGAGTACTCTTTCTCAAAACCCCTGGTTTATATTGGGAACACTAGTTGGGTCTCAATCACCAGGTTGATTCATACTAGTATATTGTATGTGTGTAAGGATATATTCCTGTTACTAACTGCAGTATTTTGGACTTCTTTTAAAACATTTTAATTATCCAGAATTGTTATACTGTTTATATTTGATATCATATTTTTCATTTTATTTTTACTTGGAACTTAATTTTTAGTTATAAATTCTCTGTTCCACTTTTTAAGTATTTTACATTTTTTGTCTGAACACACTGATGTTTCTTTTGTAACAAAATAATTTCCCAAATTGGAATCCATAAAGTATTTATCTATCTACGTATCTAACTATTGTGTATTTTATTTTCAGGATGGAAGAGTTGGGGATTGCCAACGACGGAGGCTCCGTGTGTTTCGGGCAGCTGCTGGGCATGTGTGACCACGTCTCCCTCACATTGGGTGAGCTCAGTTTTCTCCAAATTATCCAGTGTTTTTTATTCAACTAAAACGTAATGCAAAACATGTATACTTTCTCCTTTTTTTAAATGCTATTTTATTGCTATTGAGATTTATATTTCTAGTCTTTTAATTGTTATTGTATGCCATGTCTTTTTATGCTGCTGCAACACAAAAATGTCCCAACTTGGGATCAATAAAGTACTTCTTATATTTTGTCTGTTTGAGGGTGTAGGCCTGCAAAACTTCCGTTGTAGGACCAATGCTCTGACTCCATACTTTTTTGTCCTTCTACCGCCAGCTAAGGAGGGTTATGCCGTGTACAAGTCAGTGCCCTACGGCTCGGTGGACGACACGCTGCCCTACCTGGTGCGTCGGGCTCAGGAGAATCAGACCGTGTTGCAGGGAATCCGCAAAGAGAGGGACCTTCTGAGGAAAGAGCTGTTCAGGAGGCTGACTCTGAGGGGGGGCCGCTCATAGGCCCCATGCAAGGATGGAAAACAGAGGAGACAAACGCTGGACAGAACCATATCAAGAGCTCCCCATCAGGAGATGATGTAGAATAAGGGAACAACAATATACATTTATATATCTGGAGTTGTTAGAGATGTAATAGAGCTTATATGAAAGTTACAACCTATTGTATGCTGATGAAGGGAATGCAAATGAAGCACATTTTAAATAGGTAAAATAGTTTGCATCAAAATGTATGTTGCCTATACTATTAGGAAATATACCTCCATGGCAACTGAGAACAAAAGGTGAAACAGTGTTTTAATTTCCATGGAAAAGATGCTCAAATACATGCTGCTGTGAATGAAAAACTGTTAAGATCTGTGTTTTATAATAAAGTGCGTAAATGTAAGGAATACTTTTTCTTTATTTTTTGCGTGCCACTGATACACAACTCTAGACTTCTGGTAAAAGCACTTAAATAAAAGGTAAACTGTTAATGACATAAATCATATTTGAAACATATTTTTTATGCTGTGAGACTCACATGTTGCCAAACAAACACTGATAGTGGTGGAGCAACACATCATTAACAAGATAATATGGAGGTGGAAGTGAGTCTGGTGTCTGGTGGTTAGTCTTTGCCCAAGTCTCACTGATGTTTCGCTGAACACTGACCCTGTAGCATTGGAGAAGTCACTCATTCGAGTTCACAACTGTTTGACAGAAGTTAACTAAAGGTTTGAACAAGACGGAAAAAGTACCATACTTCTGAGTACAAGGAGAAACTTATATAATTTATAACTACTGATATTACAAGCCTCACACTACATTTTGTTGGAAAGCCTTTAAAAGTGCTAATTAGCAGCTTTGAGGCATAAGAGCCATAACATGTGAGTTTAATGTCTGGCGAATGTAGAATTCTCACTGCAAACACCAATAGCTTTTTTTATCGTTTTAAATTAGATACTTTTTCACATTTTGTTTATATAACTCTGACATCAAGGATCTGTATGTAATTCCAGAGGGCAGTTCCTGAGGTTTCTACTGACAGAACAGACAGACCCCTTTCATGAGGATACACATCATTTCTTCAAATTCACAAAGGCCTAACACCAGTACTGGCTGTTAGTAAAAGTAATTTATGTATCCTCCCAGTCAATGTATTTTATGCTTTTTTTGTTGTTGAATTTAATTTATAAAAACTGTGAAAAAGAGAATGGAAAACACATTTCATTTTGGTAATTGTTTATTTCATAAGTACATGTGAACAATACTTGACGTGTCTGTCACCTGACTGCAATGCCTGTATAAAGCAGTTCTCTATTAGCAATAATAACAACCTTCAAAACTCTTCACCTTTATCCCAAGTACTGAAAATCCACACTATGTAGTAGCAGTGGGAAAGACTTGTACCATGTTAACTTTCAGCTTTTTCAGGAAAGCATTTATTGTTATGGAATGAAAATTAATTCGGGGTCAAGACTGAAATCTAAATGTTTCCAGCTCAGTAGTTTGAGTGGTTTTGATAACTTCCATGGTTCCCATAACTTCCATGGTTCCCATAACTTCCACGGTTGCCATGGTTATCATGGTTATCATGGTTATCATGGTTTCCACGGTTCCCATAGCTCCCACGGTTCCCCTGGTTCTGATAGCTCCCACGGTTCCCCTGGTTCTGATAGCTCCCATGGTTGCCGTGGTTCTGATAGCTCCCATGGTTGCCATGGTTCTGATAGCTCCCCTGGTTGCCATGGTTCTGATAGTTCTGATTTCTGTAACCACCGCGATTGTAGCCTCCCCTATTCTGCTGGTAACCGCCTCCTCTCCCCTCTGTAAACAAGCAAAGAGGAAAACAAGGTTATACAAATGGATTTAAAATCATATCCATAAAACGGAGCTCAGGCTTCTTTTTTCAATTATCATTGAGGAGAGAGGGTATGTGGCGGTCTGGAGGTTAAATTGCTTGGACATTTTTTTTGGAGCTCTAACTTTATGTGCAGCTAACAGAGCACATATCCTATTCTTAAAAAAGAAAAGAAACAGCGAGTGAAATAACTAGGAATGCCTTACAGGACAGACTGCCTGAACATTTTTCAAACACCACATCTCCCCTCACTATGACAGCCGTCTCTTCACTCCGCCTCCCCCGGCAGCCGCTCAGAGCGACTGTTAGTTACTGATTACATTCAGAGAAACTCAGACAGCAACTTAGTTAAAAGCAGTAAGGAGTAAACAACACGCTCAGGTGAGTGTGGCTTCACTTACCTCTGTTGTAAGATTTGTTCTGTTGGTAGCCACCTTTCTGATCTGTAATGCAAAGGAAAAAAAACAGTCATTATTTTTTTGAAGAAAGCACTTACGCACACACCTATACAATATGAAATATAATGCATATAATCAAGCGTGTTGTCCGACTCACCTCTGTTGAAGTAGCCTCCATAGATGCCCTGCTTGAGGTCGAAGACGCGCTCGTTGTTCTCCACCAGGCTGCCCAGTTTCTCAGCCAGCTGCAGGGCCATGTTCTGCAGGGAGGTGGGCTCTGTGCGGTGCATCACCACCGTCTGAGTGGGCTGGTCCAGGGACGCCTTTTGAACAAGAAGACACAATAGGTTTAGAGAACAACATTGAGAAGGTAATTGTACATGCAAAGATGAAAAGGAAATGAAGTCAGAAACGTACCATCAGCTCCTCGTTGATGATCATCTTGCTGATGATGCTGTGAACTGTTGGGATCTCCAACTCAAACATCTCAGAAAGTGTTCCCATGCTAAAGGACAGATGGACATACAGGAACAATGATCATTAATGAAAGAAAATTGAGCCATCTTAGATGTTTTAAGTTTGCGTGAGTAGGCAGTGCAACATCTGAATAGATATAGAAATACAAACGGACGCCTTATCTCAGAGAACACGGTGTAACACTAACAGCGCTTCGCTAGTGACTGGTGCTCATCTTGTTCTTACCTGATGGAGTCGTACACACTGCTGTACGTGAACAGATAAGTCCTCAGGGACTCTTCTTGGATCTTCCTATACAAAGAAAGGCAATAGGGAAATTCATAATACATTCACTTCAACAAGGAAAGCACAATGACTTTATACCTACAAATATAATGCTAGTGCCATTAAATCATCATGGGATGATCTGAAATAATAATCTGAAGGATCACTGTTGAATGAATTCATATAATGTGCAATATGCAATATGTGTAATATATAGACGCCGTTAATAACGGTGCAATATATACCTGGATGCTAAATCCTAACAACTGTAACAGGATGTGTATTTTTTTTTAAATGATGTAACTTTTTTATCATATCATAACTTAGTACTTTTTTTAATGCATCTCACATTTAACATATGTAACATTAAGCCGTCTGTGGCTCTTTTTCCTGCTGTAACTATGCAAACGTCCCCTCCGTGGGACTAATAAAGGTATTCTGATAAAAGCAAGTTCAGATTTCATTCCCTAAAACCATAAGATTGTAACACCTAAGTGATGGATGAGAGGTGTATGCCTAACCTGACGAGCCATCTCCGCGGCACTCAGGTCGCTGCGGTCTCGGGGAAGCAGGTCCCAACCTTGCTGTTCATCTCTTCGTGTGATGAATGAGGAGTGGCAGGTGCGCCGTCTCCATCTTCAGGCTTAACTGGCGGCCACCACATCTGCCTCCCTCATCTCTCGGGGGGTCCTGCGGGACCAAACAGAGTGTCCTACGTGAGACTCATTTCCCCATCCTGATTAACATCCTGGTGGTAAAGAGATGCCTGAGGGCAACATGTTAGCACACCCAGAAGAGGCTGTCTTCTCTCCCACTCTCAGCGGTGATGGGAACTGCTTGCTGATCATCCTGCGTGCGGGCATTTCGACTCATGGCGGCATGTAGGGGTATCTCCAGCAGCATGCGGGACACCAGGTACACACAACTCCCAGCAGCATCCAGGTTGATGTGCATGTGGAAACGGCACCTGCGAGGGGAAGAATCAATGCAAAATGTTATAGAATAAAATGTACCAGCATTACTGGAATACCCAATACGTTACGTCAGGAACGGTCAAACTATTCATAGGACAAGATTTCCCTTGGAAATTCGTACCAAAAGTTTGTAACAGTTTTTCGAAAAACAACTAAACTTTAAAACGGGGTTCCTGCAGGTTTCGGCCTACAATCAAGATCTAAGAGCATTATATTAACGACACATTTATTGTAATGCAGCCGACATGCAATCGATCGAATATAAAACTCTGGTCGAGTAGAGCCGGAAAACAGGGCCTAAGGGTATCGACGCATCGGAAAAGGTGCAGCCAGTGAGAAAGTATCGAACGGAAACGGGACTGCTATGAAAGACAGAAAACATCACGGTCCCACTGACATGACTCTACCAACGTAAAATGTACTTCATGCGTTCAACATAAGAACAATGACTGCACATAACAGCATAACAGTACAGAACTGTGTTAGCCAAAAAGTGTGTATGTGTGTGTGTCTGTGTGCTTGTGTGTGTGTTCGGGCTGTGCAATTAATCGTAATTTAATCGCAACTACGATTTTGGCCTGCAACAATCACAAAACAACATAATCGAAAAAAATTTATTTAGCTTTGCTAGGTTGTGACAGTGACAACATATTTGATCTAATTAATTTGAGTCTAATTTATATTTATTTATAATATTTATATATGTTTAGTAGCTTGTGGAAGTGCGCTCCAAAATATTTATTGATCTTGTTTATTGGTATTTATTATGTTGATATTATTTATTTAAATATATAATTTATTTAATTAGTTTTTGAATTGCTTTTTCAGTTGAATTATACGTTCAGGGTAATCAACAGTTAAAAAGATAATGTTCAAATTATTATTTGTTTTAAAGTTCAATAAATGGATGTTTTCAAAGTCAATGAATAATCGTATTTAATAATCGTGATATCAATTATTGACCAAAAATAATCGTGATTATGATTTTTGCCATAATCGAGCAGCCCTAGTGTGTGTGTGTGTGTGTGTGTGTGTGTGTGTGTGTGTGTGTGTGTGTGTGTGTGTGTGTGTGTGTGTGCGAGTGAGAGTAACAAGAGCTATATTCAGAGCTCTGCTGCCTTGGCTACAATCTTTCATCATTGCTGTTGTATGATTGGTGTTTAGCGTCTACAGCACCTCCGCTTTTCTAACGCTACATTAGCAAAACAAACGCTGATTTCTTTTGCAAAAGGTGCAGCAGGCTTCAAACACGTTCCCCTCCACCGGTTTCAACCAAGCACTAAATTCGATGTTTTCCAACCAAATACGGTTGAACTTACACTTCCCCATATTAATTTGTAAGTAGATTCGAAGAGACATGAGTTTCTGACTGCCGCTAGCTGAAGCTTGGTTGCTAGGTTACTAGCTGGGTGTTCTCCGATAAGGGGCCGGGGGAAACAAAGTTAGTGATTACTGGTTCCATGTTGATTGATTTCAATACAAATTGTTGGGGGGAACTGAAAGTCTATTATCGTACTGGTTACTTTGCAGCCCGGACATTTTCCCCCAAACACATTTAGAGGCGATCGCAACACAGAAGTACCTTTCAAAACCGATCATTTTTAAGACCTTCTAAATCATATTTAAGACCTTTCTTATTTTTTGGTCATATTTAAGACCTTTTTAAGGCCTTACATTCAGATTATCAAATGTAAGACTTTTTAAGACCCCGCGGGAACCCTGTTAAATGCCTACACATTTGAAACTTATATAATCACATCTAAAATTGCTACTATAAATGTATATTTAGGAAAATGAAAGTTGACAGAATGAGTTCATACCCATTGTATTCGATGTATACTGTAACCTTCATTCATCAGCCTAGATTAAACCAAGCAGGTTCACCAACAAGGAAACCAACATGATCTCAATCACAGGACTTACTTGTCTTCTCTTCTCGATCTTCTCCTGCTCTGCGTTCCTCTCCTGCATGTTCCTCATCAGCAGACCCTGACCCAGCAGCTCCTTGGCGCGGCCAGAGGACTGGATGTCCAGCAGGGCATTGTGGGCATCTTTAATCATGCCCTGCCTAAAGGCGCAGATGCCAAGCTGAACCATGGTTCTGTTGTACAGGATCTACACGAGATGGAGAGAGCTTTTTAGAGACAAAGCTACACAAGAGAGCAGCTATGAACCCTAAATAAAAGACAGCCTGCTCACCTGTACGGGGGGGTCGGCGTGCTGGATGTTGTCCTGCAGGTGGCTCATCAGCATCAGGTCGCGGGCCTGGTACCAACGGGAGTGCAGCGCGTGGTGGTAGATGTGGCAGAGGATGGCGCAGGTACGGATGCGGTCGGTGCGATCCTTGGCGTAGATGAACTTGCAGAGACGGTCCATGATCACAGCGCTGTCCTCGCCCTCGCTCTCCTCCTGGTCCTGCTCCGACTGAGGCGCAGAAACACAACTCAGCTCAGACATCGGTACATTAGAGACGGCTGCGTTTTGAAAACAGGTACTCTGCTTTTTGCAGGTAGGAAAATACTCTTCTGCCATTTTGCAGTTTCTCTTTCCGAGTTAAACGTTTTTTCCCCAGTTGTATGACATTATAAAGATTTGATACATTTCCAGACAATATGGCATCATCATGGTTACATCACACTTGACACCATGCCGGAAATCGAGACAGGGAAAACGACTCATAAATGTCAAGTCAAGAAACTAATTATCTGTTAGCTTTTACTTGATAAGAATGTTTAGTCAAGGCATAGCAGTCAGTGCTAATAAGAAAGAACGTTTAAAACTAAATTAGAACGCTTTCTCTATTAAAAAAGTTAGTTTTTTTTATTTCCCTCTTTTAAATAAAAAGATATGCTCAGTGTTTCCCTTAGGTTTACTGCCTTGGCAGTAACAAATGTAACAAAGTATTTGTACATTAAAAAGTAATAAAGTACAGTGTTACACTGTATTACTTTAATTCAAACTGTATCCCCTTCTTATCATGTAGCTGACACTTCTTCCTTTCATTGATACATTTAAATCACCTGACTACAGCATATAACATACCTTCTGCAACCCTGTGCTGCTGCTGCTTCTCTCTGCCTCATCCTCTATTGCTGGAGGCAGCTCCACCTCATCTGATCTCTGATATGAAAGCAATCCTGTTATGATCATATTGAGCTATTGGTGTGAGTCTAACATTAAACAAGCAGTCTGCTTTTCATACAGGCAATTTGTTGAGTCACTGCCGCTAAATGCCGGTAGCATCAAGCTAGCAAATCCTGCATTAGCCTCACCTCAACAGGTGTAGACAGAACATCCAATTATCCTGAGCTAATTTACTGAATAAGGACCCAGCCTCCTGAGGACCCAGCCTCGCAGACTGCGAAATGAGACGGTCTACGGAGCATGTCCTTGTACGCCACTGGTAGTTACACCTACATTTTGCCGCCCCCGTCACCTAGCAACCAGCTGCAGTCACAAGTGCCGGTAATAATTTCTGACACTAGGCAAAATATTTTCAAACTGTTTTCAAAACTGTTTTCAGAACTGTTCAATATGGAGTCAGATCTAGCTGTACTTATTTTGGTGTTATATAATATGTTTAAATTATTTTCCCGAGGTCGCAACAGGCCCCCGTGAAGAGGGCTTCATTCTCCCCGCGCATCTGGATAAATTGCGCAGTCTGCTGTTGGCCAAAGTCGACCTAAGCAAAATTTACATGAGTGGGTTTATCATTGTGCTGTACTTTCTTTTTCATTTGATTAATTAAACACATAAATTTATCTGCCGTAACCTCTACAGAAGAAATATAATGTATATGTATTTTTATTATACTTCCACTTTTATAAAGATTTGGGACAAAACCAAAAGTATAAACAACCCTAATGAATATTTTGGGCAGATAAATAAATAAATATGACGAAAACAATATGTTTAGAATTACGTTGTTAAAACAAAGTGTATCC